ATCACAGCCTTGTATCTTTTTTTTGTTGTACCGCACTTGTGGGGAATCTTTTACTTTCTCTTTTCACCTTTGATTTCAGATCGTAATAGTAATATTTGGTGTCTTTACCATTTCACGTTGTCTTGTCCATTCACGGACAGTGGAGTCTTATCCATGCAACTTTGCAACATGACCTTTTGAAATCTCCTGCTGATGGTAAGACCGACGTATCTCAGTCGTATCGGGTGAAGTAANGGTTAAATTATGACACTTTTTTTGTTTTAATCTAATAAGAATGTGATATGTGTGGAATTATCTTATATTTTTATTATTTTTTTTTGATCAATGATTATAAACTGTCTAAATCAAAACCTACGACCTCAAATCAATTTTGATATGGGTATCACAGCCTTGTATCTTTTTTTTGTTGTACCGCACTTGTGGGGAATCTTTTACTTTCTCTTTTCACCTTTGATTTCAGATCGTAATAGTAATATTTGGTGTCTTTACCATTTCACGTTGTCTTGTCCATTCACGGACAGTGGAGTCTTATCCATGCAACTTTNATATTTTGTTGTTTTTCCTCTTGTTCGTAGTCTTAAGCTGCAACTATATTTGTCTTACTGAAATTGTCTGGGTTGCAAATGGATCGACTATTATAATGAGATGTCTAAACCTTTGACATGACACAGAAGCTCGATAAGNTTAAATTTTAAAGAATTTATGTTAGTTCAATTCATAAAGAATAGACCGATGATTTGCTATTATCAAATTAGTGGAACTGGAGTCCGGCTAAGACTCAAAGCATCTGTAGGTAGTGTCTACAGGTTCTTCTGTCTGGGCCACTCTAAGGGCTTTCCCAACANGATGATTTGCTATTATCAAATTAGTGGAACTGGAGTCCGGCTAAGACTCAAAGCATCGGTAGGTAGTGTCTACAGGTTCTTCTGTCTAGGCCACTCTAAGGGCTTTCCCAACAAATAAGAATTTGCTATGGTTACATCCTTGACAAAAATTCCATATCTGGTCGTCCCTCCTCTTTTATACCATTTTTCTCATTCAACTGTCTTAAATAGACTCATTAAATGACTATTAATATTCTTCTCAAAATTATTTACATTACACCGTATCTTCAAACACGAGNCTATCTTATATTTTTATTATTTTTTTTCGATCAATGATTATAAACTGTCTAAATCAAAACCTACGACCTCATATCAATTTTGATATGGGTATCACAGCCTTGTATCTTTTTTTTGTTGTACCGCACTTGTGGGGAATCTTTTACTTTCTCTTTTCACCTTTGATTTCAGATCGTAATAGTAATATTTGGTGTCTTTACCATTTCACGTTGTCTTGTCCATTCACGGACAGTGGAGTCTTATCCATGCAACTTTGCAACATGACCTTTTGAAATCTCCTGCTGATGGTAAGACCGACGTATCTCAGTCGGATCGGGCGAAGTAGNTTTGAAATCTCCTGCTGATGGTAAGACCGACGTATCTCAGTCGTATCGGGTGAAGTAAATTCGTCTTAAATTTTAAAGAATTTATGTTAGTTCAATTCATAAAGAATAGACCGATGATTTGCTATTATCAAATTAGTGGAACTGGAGTCCGGCTAAGACTCAAAGCATCGGTAGGTAGTGTCTACAGGTTCTTCTGTCTAGGCCACTCTAAGGGCTTTCCCAACAAATAAGAATTTGCTATGGTTACATCCTTGACAAAAATTCCATATCTGGTCGTCCCTCCTCTTTTATACCATTTTTCTCATTCAACTGTCTTAAATAGACTCATTAAATGACTATTAATATTCTTCTCAAAATTATTTACATTACACCGTATCTTCAAACACGAGTTATTTCTAATAAATTATAATTGATCAGTTGTAATATAAATTTTACAATATCGTATTCCGTTAACCCAAATAAGAGTTAAGTTAGTCTCTAATACTAATTATTTATTTTTGACGTCCAAACTAATTTAATTGGTAGCTAGATGTAAAAAAAAATATTTGGTTTTTTATTTTTATTTTTATTTTTTTTCTATGTTTGATTTGCTATTATTTGAAATCTATTATGATTATAGTACTTTTAACGCGATTTTGCTTGCACGAGAATCACTTCAACTTCTAGTTTAATAGGGACCGTGGTGAGTTTGTTTAAGAGAATGATTTGAACATGAGATAAAAATGATATAACTTGATTGTCACCATTAACACTATATCTTCTCATATAACAATAGATAGAAGAATTTACGATACCAATTAGATACAATAGCAAAAAAAAATTGGAAAAAGCTACAATCCAATATGGTTACATCACAAACAATGAGATAAAAAATTCGACTAGCTTAATGTAGGATCTAGATCGTCTTCATTTTTTGTTAAATTTCTTTTTTAACAGATTATTCACTATTAATGAGTGAGAGACACTTATATATGATTGATTTTACTTGAATGCATGATAGATGATAGCAAAAAATTTTAAAAGACTAAAGTGTGGAGAAGAAGATAGAAGTGCAGAAGTTGTATTCAAGTAGTAACAATGACGAGTTGTAAATTCAGACATTTTGAGTTTAAATTTTGACAATTCGTTGGGATCAAGTTATAAAAAATTTATCTCTCGTGAATATGTTAATTTCGGTGTAAATGACTCGTCTTTAACTGAACTGACGAAAGAATTAATCAAATTATACATACATTGATTCGAACACTTGTAAAAAATAAATAAAAAGAAGTTATATTCAACGACCGAATGATTAACGCACTGTTGCAATTGTAATTTTGGGTACACTAATGGGGTCCTTTGATGCTAACAGAAAGGTTATAATCCCCACAAACGAGACTTTTATGGCGGTGGTCCATCTTTGCCCGTCGAATAGAAGACTCTCTCCCACATATATTGAGCCCCCCCCCGTGTGGTGTGTTGCTACCTCTATTGTTTTACGATTAATGTTACGTGAACTTAAAAAATAAATTTAAAAATAAAACTTTATAATCTAAATTATTAATTTTACTATGAATCCCAGTATTTATTGGGACCCACTACCTATTCAATAATTGAAATTATCAAATCTAATTTTTAAATCNTATTTATTGGGACCCACTACCTATTCAATGATTGAGATTATCAAATCTAATTTTTAAATTCATATAACATTACTCTCGTTTTACACTCACATTTCTGCATTCATTTCCATTACTTACCTAACGGTTGTGCCATTATGGCCCTTAATTCAATGACCATGCATGCCCATGTCTCCCGGATCCAAAATTTTCTTTAATCTAAATTTTATTTTTATTTTTATTTTTTTACAGGATCACTTACAATTAACGAAAAATCCACTTGTGCACAATAAATAAATGATAGACGGCCTATGTAGAAGGAAATTGAAACGAAATTATATTAGAGGGTATTGCAAGAATTAGGGTCTTTTGAGACAACCGTCACAAAAAAAAACATATTTTGAAGGAAAAAAATATTTTCTGTTATGGTAGTTCTATCATAAAAAATTTATTTACTGTTATAAATACTATTTGAGACCGACGTTGTTGTCATAAAATTTTTTTGAGCCTTCACTTATTTTGTGACGATAAATATTACCGTCGCAAAAAATTTACCTAAAAAAATTGTAGGCATCTAAAACTTGTAATGTGTGGGGGTGAGATAGTTGCATGCACTGAACTTGTTATGTTCAATGCACCTTTCCTAGTATGGGTTGTGGAGCCCTTTTTATAATCTTTCGCAAGAGTTAAGCTAGCTATAATTATTGAAACATCTAGGGACTAGAGGTTAATCTATAAATATCAAACCTTTGGATTCCAACAATCAATTTCTCTACCTTACTTGTTTGTCTTCAACCTCTCGTCAAACTCAAATCAACACACTCTCCTTGTGTTTTTATTCGCTCAGCCCCACCACCACACCTCTCTCTCTCTCTCTCTCTCTCTCTCTCTCTCTCTCTCTCTCTCTCTCACGCACACACACACACACTTCAAGTTTTTTTTTTAATGCTAATAATGTCTATGTAGTGTTTTTTTTGTATTTGGTTCCACTTCACATGCAATGTGGACAAAATTTGGCTAATTTGACACTAGAAGTTGATTTGAGAATACATTGATTAAATGATCAAACACCTATTCACTTGCGGGCAAGTGTTTCACTCACTTTATATTGATCACACACTCTGAAATTTTCAGTTCCTTAAGAAGGCAAGTGAGGTCATTTTGGGAGGTGGAGTGAAATCAAGGCTAATTAAACAAGAGCAATTCTAACTTTAACTTAATTTACCGATTTAATTTGTTGATTTAACAAATTACGGTAATTGAATTGACGGTAAATTCTAATATTGATTCAATTCCATTATCAATCAAAGGGTTGTAAAGAATTATGCTAATAAATTAGATTCAACTGCTATTATTGGTTAAACAATTTGGTGATCTACGCAATAAACCCAATAATTGTGGTTCACTTAAGATTAGCTTTAGCTGCTTTTACACTAAACAGACTTCCAAACATGAAACTTAATGGAAGAGTATCAAAGAAGAATGAAGGAGGCTAATCAGATTGAAAAAGATTAGTTGAACACAAAGTTCTTTCATCGAATAGCGAATGCGAAAAAAAGGATAAATACTATATCAAACTGGAGGTAAAAGATGTCGTTCTAGAAACTTTATCCGAACCGCATGTGATTTATCGCAACTTAGTTGGTATGGAAAAAGATTTGGTTATCAAAAAATTTTATCAAATATCCTTTCCAAATTATATGACATGGATTTTTACCGTCGACAAATAAATTTCATTAATATTTAATGATAAAATTGTGTCATTTTATTTCCAATGGAAAATTTGGTAAAAAAAATTAATGATCATAGCATTTTCCACGGAAAAAGGGCATCAACTAACAAGGTAACATCATAGGACACGTGGATATCACCGGTTGGTCAGGCTTTTTCTTATATCCATACATCCCAGATCTGAATAACGGTGCCATCAATATCCCGTTACGGAATCAAAAAATTCCCCGTTATTCTCGACGGACTTAGGAGTTAGGACCACACTCACCTAGCTTATAATTTACCAGAGCCCAATCCCAACCGTGCAACGGAATCCCTGCCAACAGTGTCATCGTCATCATCAACTCCACCTCCAACGCGCACTCTCTCTCTTTCTCTGCACAGCTGAACAAGATACGCTCAGCCCTTGGAGGCAGAATTCAACTACGCGCCTGCAGAGAATTTTCAGAGTTCCGGTTCAAGAATTCGAAATGGTATAGAGAGAGATAATTGCGAGTGTTTTGATAAGAAACCTGTGTGTTGGCGAGAGTGAGAGATCGGACAGGAATATATGAAGAAGTGTACAGGAATTGGAGAAGAATCAGTGATGAATGTGGGACAGATTGGTGTGAGGTTGACTAGAGCTCGGGCGGCTCTTGCAGTGGCTTCGGCGGTGACTAGTTCGCGGACGTCAAAAAGGAGGAAGGTAAGCAGCGGAAAATTGGAGTTATCTTCATTGTTAGCTAAGCTAAGACGTCGCCGTCGTGTCCTGGTTACACCACAAAATTCGACTTCGCCTCCAACGTCGGGGAATTCTAGACGACAGATGACTTCTTCCAACGTTCTGCGCCAAAGAACTAGCTCTGATCACGCTCTCGCTTCTTATTGCTCGAGTAATGGATCAAGCGAGCTCGCGAACGGGATAGTGAAATTCGTAGATCTGGAGGTATGTCATTGTGTGGACTCTCGGAATTCAACTAGCTTATCAATCTTCTCTCTCTCTCTCCCCTTAATACACGCTTGCACACACATACATTCTCCCTCACTTTCTTCGCTGAAAGCTCGAGTGAATCCTCGGTTCTCGTGCTTATAATTGCCAGTGCTACTTAATTTTTTTTTACTGTTTTGAATTTTAAATTTCTTATATGACAGGAGGAGGAGAGTGCTGAAGTTGAAACATCGACGTTTGACATCCACTGCAGGGAAAGAGAGAGGTATTTACGTATCTTATTTAATTTCATTTACATAAATATTTATGTGATCTTCATGCTCACGTCTCTTCAATTTGAAATTTAAATCGAGTGAATGATCGTAAACGCCCTCTTATTTAATTCTCCTCCGTTCAAATTCTTCTCCGTGGCTTCAGTCTATTATATATACCTACCAATTCTTCACGTCTCCTCCGTCACAACGAGCGTTTAATTCGCAGGAGAGAAATGACACCGGCAAGCGAGCTTCGAGCGGAATCCGGAGAGCTGGAGCCAACAGGGAGGCCTTCGGAGGCTAGTTCTCGCCGCCGATCAACAGCACTCGAGAAAATGCCATCAGAAGCCGAACTCGAAGAATTCTTCGCCGCAACAGAGAAAAATGTCCAGAAATGTTTCGCGGAAAAGTGAGTCACACTGCCACAGCTTCTTGCTCCGCAAGTTTACCCTAATTTTTGCCTCCACATTGCAATTTATAAAAATGTAAATTGATGGTTTTGTAGGTATAACTACGACATTGTGAAGGACGTGCCTCTGGAAGGTCGCTACGAGTGGATTCAACTAAAGCGGTGAAGAAGAAACAAAAGACCAACCACGTTGACAACAAGTATTTACATATTTAATTTTTGGTAGCTTTTTTTTTTTTTTATGAATTGGTAGATGTTGTACTTGTACAGCTCTCTCTCTCTCTCTCTATTTATCTGAATTTGAATGAACCTCTCTCTACTTCTGTTAGTGGGGGGATGGGATGCATATGGGGTTAGCTTCTGAAAAAATTGAACACATGGAGGAAGATAAAAGCTCTCTGGTTTTAGTACTTATTAAATTTCTTGTGTCTCTTCTTCTCTGCGTTTGTTTTTTACGACATACGAACAATTCAGCTGTGTTAGCTTTCGATCTCTTTGCCCATTTACTGAGTCCACTATATTTTCATGCCAAATTTTTTGTTTGTTTTGGCGATTGATAATTTTATGAAATAAAAAAGAGATATAATTGGGAGATGGACCTTGTTTGACAGCTTTGTGGGTTCAGTAGTAAAGAAAAAGAAGATGACAATAGAAGATTTGGTTAGAAATTAGGAGGAGGATATCATGATGGGTATATGATGGAACTCGGGAATGGCAGAGGGGTAATAGTACATTGGGCAAGGGCCTTGCCGTCTAAGTGACGGACACGTTGAGGATCTTCCATATGGATGCTTTCTCTCCTCTGGATTAACCCCACTTTTGCATGCATTACAAAGTACAGCACTCTCTGTCTCGCTCAAAAAACTCACCCGAATATTATTAAGAATATATTATTTGAATTTAATTTAGAGACTTAATTTAATATAATTATTAGATTAAAAATAGGATGCGCCTATCATTAAAGTTTACAATTAATATAAATTGAATTAGGTCATTATAATTTTATTTTTTTATTTTTAAAAATGAGAAACCTCTTCAATACAAGGTCACTTCAACTTATTCCTATAAGAGTAAATTTCAAGTACTTTTTTATTCACAAATTACATATAACGGTTAAGCCAAAAAAAAATATGAGCAAAAATTGTGGAATTATTACCTTCACACCATTGTTCTTTTTCAGAAACAACCAACCTCTTTAGAGTGGTGCTAATAGTATTAATGGGTCTTTGGTTCAATGGTAAGGGTTCAAGCCTAATATTTATTAAGACTCACTACGTATTCAATGGTTGTAATTATCAAGTCTAATTTTTAAATTTAATTTTTAAATTTATGTAACATTACTTTTAATATTAGGAATAATCCTTACCTAAATGTACGGTATAAATAAATTTATTGAAATTTATTTTATTTTATATGATGAATTATAAATTCCAAGTTTTTTGTTAACTACGTTATAGGAGTGTAGGAACGTTTGTACCACCTGGTTTTCACAATGATTATAAATTGTAAAGGAAAGAAAGGTGAAAAGGTGAGCACGTTTTTGAATGGTTTCGTTGGTTATTTGGCTGCTGTTATAGTGTTGATTTGTTTGAAATAGGAGAAGTCCTTGATATTGTTTTCCTGGAATGGAGAAGTTACTGATGGTATTGGCTGCTGGGATTGCTGAAGTCTGATGGGGTTGGCTGCATTTGGAGTGCTGTTTGAAGAAGAGGAGAGCACGTTCTTAGAGATTAAAGAAGCCGGCTTAGCTCAGCCTGCAGAGCGCTCGGCTTTTTGACCACGTGGCCGTGGGGTCGATTCCCACAGACGTTGATCTATATTATCTTTCGACATGTCATCAACTCGTAACTAGAAAAAATAAAAAATGATCAATGTTATTGCAATTTAATTTATTAACTTAATTTGTTGACTGAATTTATTATGACCTTTGAATTGACTGTGGACTCAGTCAAACATTAGAACTTGATGTTAATCCAATAATTTCAATGAAGTCATGTCATTAAGTCAGCAAATTATGTCAAATTTAATTTACTATTACCTTTAGATTGACTATGAGCTCCATCAAGCATTAGAACTTGGTGTTAAGTCAATGGTTTCAATGAAATCACGTCATTAGGTCAGCAAATTATGTCATATTTTTAGATCTAAATAACATTTTCCATTAAAAATAAGATTTGTGTGTAATATTTATTTAATATTTGATGCCGCAACCTTATCCATTTGACTAATATACTGATTCATGAAGTTAAGATCAATTGGGATATTTAATTTAATAAAAATAAAATTTGAAAGGCAAAATTGTCTTCCATGTATTAACAATTTAGAATAACTTGGAAGGTATAATTTTATTGTTTAATATCTCGAGACTATAAGCCCAATTAATCTAAAGATCTCGGTTGAACCTATGCATATAATTGATTGCACCCATTCAAAATTTACGTAAGGATTTCTTGTATGAAAAAAAAAATACTTGGTTACGTGATAATGTTTTATTGTCTTTTGCAAAATTAAGCTTTTAACCACAATTAAAACTAAGAGTGTGTTTGGTTAAGTTTTTGTTTTTATATTCTTTTTATATATTAAAAAAAAAAGAATTAGTTTTTATTTTTTCTGTGATAAAAATTAAAAATATAAAACATATTTGTTAATCATTTATATTTAAAAATTTGTAAAAATAAAAAAAAAAAAAATCTGTTTGGTATTATACCAAAAATTCACCACCCAACCCCACTGACCACTCAGCCCCACCACCCAAACCCACGCCCACCACTGAAACCCATCCCCGAGGTCTTCATTAGAGTTGTAGAGATCACTGGAAGTGGAGGAGCTTCGTCTAGTGTGAGGCTCTTCATCTGTCTTGGAGGTGTTGGAGAAGCTGTAGGATTTTTTGGTATAGGTGTGAGGCTCTTCGGCTAAGAAATGGGAGTTCTTGGCAATTTATAGGGTAAGAAAAATAACCCATTATTTTGCTGTGGAGAGAGTTCGAAGTTCATACTTCACTAAAATGGGTTGACCTGTCCACATATTTTGGTATTTTGATGTTTTCAAAACATCTTTTTGGATATTTCTCTATTTTTGCCTTATTTTCAAAACAGAACAGTTAAAAAAAAAAAAACAAATTCATCAAATGTCTTTTTTTTTTTTGCCATAAAATGAGAACAAAAACATGCGATTACCAAACATCACCTAAATTAAACTAATGTATTGTGTTTTTAACTTTTCTAAAATGAAAGATCGAGCCCTTCTAGATGTGGCAAAGATAACACAGCTTCGCAAAAAGTTAGAGTTAAAAAAGTCTCCTAAATTCCTTTAAGTTGTTCTTTAAAAAGTTGAAATAGTCCACTTTGAATGACTTTCTATCTTTTTTATATCAAAATAAAAAAATAATTGCATATATGTATAGTATATGCATAATAGTTTACAAAATATAAAATTAAAATTTTTTTTATGTCACTAATATTATTTTATGAAATAATAAATTAAAAAGCTATGTATGACCGACAACAAAATTTTAAAAAGCCAAAAAAAAGTTCATAAAACCTATTTCTTGCATCAGCCTAAATAAACTTTTTTGAATCCAAAAAACTATTGCATAGGTCGGTAAATAAGTTAAACCTCAAATGGACCACACTTGTGTTACATCAAAACTCACAAAAATTAGGAAAATTTGGAGGTCGGTCCCCCATTTGTAGACTTATTTGGTGATAATTTTATCAAGAAAACTTGTTTAATATTAAGTCCATTTGATCTACATTGTCAAAAATACTTATATTAGTTATGTTTAATTAAAATAAATTTAAAAATTAAAAACTCCTATATTTTAGGAGTTTGATTAACATTAAAATTATCTCTTATATCTATCTAATAGCTAATACCCATGCTTAAAGGCATTGTGTGACACAACAAAATCGTCTGAATAAAAAATCAAACCCACAAAAATTAGCAAATGGAAAAAAAAATTTAGTAACCAAAAAAGTAATCATAGAACCCACAAATACTAATTGAGCTGAACTTAAATAACCATAATTGATTATCACGTCAATATTTTTAACCCTATTAAATCTTCACATAATAATTTACTACTCATTATCATCACGCATACACATTTTATCTTATAATCTATATTTATATCTATACTACTAATAAAAGTACACTATCAAAAAAAACTTTTGATTGACTACTTTAACCCTAAAACAATATATAAAGACAATACCAACCTTATTTAATTTAGACCTCATATTAATAAAACTTGATTTATGTTAAACTTTTAATTTGATAATTTTACTCTCACAATACTAACATTATTAATATGAAATTCATATTAATAAAACTTCATTAATATTACACATATCCAAACCTTTCATATTCTTTCTTTTAACAGACAAAAATTAATTATTAAAATAATTAAATATACTTTTATTTATGTCTATTTATTTTCATTAGTTGATGAGTTTTTGAATTTTCAAATGAAATTGTATAAATGCACTAGAGTATTATTTAGTATAAGATTTATTTTAATATAATTTGGATAATATTATCAAATCCTAACTTTTCATTTTATTCTCTTTTTGTGTTTTAGTTTTGATAAATCCTCTTTAGTTATGTTTATTGACAATACTAGAAACCATTTTATTTGTATCGATTAGCAATGCCACGAATATGTTCAGTTTCACATTAAATTACTTATCACAACTTAACTTTTTAAATTTGTTCAACCAATTATTTATAATTAAATGACCAGCATAATTTAAAATAGTTCGCTTCCGTATTTTTTATGATTTAATAAGTGTCTACGATACTTTTTAGTTATATATACCCACATATTATAAAATATATTTGTACCATTACTATGATGTTGCAAATAAAATTAATCTAAATAATTAACTTAATGTGAAAAGTTCTAAAATTTAAGGATAGAGATTTACAAGAAAGTAATTCATCAAAACTTAAGAGAAAATAAAACAATAAAAATTAATATTCGTTATGAAAATATGTAGTGTTATGTCTATTACAAATTATATAATAGGAATATTCAAAAGATTATATTTATAAGTAGGTATTTACTATGATATTTATTTAATTATTTTAAAAACAAAACCATAGCTCAAAAAATCAACGTGAAAGGCACTTGTGCACGATCTAGTATTACATAGAGGAGAACTATTTATAGCAATGCAACATCATTTCCTCTACGGAACAATAAAAAATTCTAGACTTAATTAAACATCAATTCTTACTCTTGAATAACTATAAAACCCATTAAACTTGATTTAAAAATAGTCATAGTGGCAACTAAGCAATCAAATAATAACCAAAAACACCTTAAATTAGTAATTGAAACTCTTGAATGACTACACAAAGCTAGGTGCATGCAAATTAGTGAAGCATGCACGACTACAAGTAAAGAAACTAATAAAAAAAGGAAACAAAAATTACAAGATCAAATAGTAGAATGACAAAAATATACACAAACCTTCTAATTTTCATTCACGAAAGCTTTTCTAATATAACATGTTGGTCGAATGAGCAATTCGGCAAAACAAAGTATTTTAATTCTATATAAATGTTTTTATCTTTACACTTTATTACTCACACTATGCTGAAATGAACCCCATTTCATTTGATTTTGGCAAAAGTTTCCTGGAAAAAAAATTCAAATCAATTTAAAAGTTAATTGTCAATTTTTCCAGCCAATAAGTAATATATAATTAAAAATACATCTGTTAATAATATCAAAGATATTGTTCAATTGTAGAGAAAAAAAAATGCCAATGCATTGTGAAAACAAAGCAATGTTAAAGCCGTAATAGTAAACCAAAGTTATAGTTGAAAAATATATATGAGAATAGAATACTACTCTATCAAACAATTTACATTTGCAATTGATGATCTTGGAAATTTCATCCATTAAAAAGTCAACATTATTTTAAGCTAAAGAAAAAGAATAAGATTCCAAAGTGCATCACTTACCAAATATTCAAAAAGGAACCAATTCATGGCTAAAAAAATCAACAAGTAACTACATTCATCGATGTTCAATCCCCCATTCAAAGTAGTTATACACTAAATGCACCTATTTGACTTTCAAGTTTAATTTCAATCCTAATGTTGAAGACATATTCTAAAGCGAGCAAAAATTATATCATACAAAAAAGTTGAAAATGCATCATAAACTAAAGCTAAAAATATATCCTAGAGTTGACTTTTATATATCCTATGAGGTCACCTCTCATATGTTATTGCTAACTGGTTGAGGATGAAGTTGGGGAGGAAGAGGGCGCTAACTGGCCGTTGGTTTGGTCATAATCTTCAATAAACAGAGATAAGTAAATAATTGTCTTGCCAATATATTCCTGAAAGGGATAATAAAGTACAATAAGAGTGAATATTTAGTAAGTAAAATGCAGAAGCAACATAAACACCATTCTGAAGACTAGCAAAACTTCATGAAACGATAGTCATTGAGAAGAAACATACCTCATATATTTATAATCAAGTATTATCGAGTTTATGTTATACCGAACACAAGTCGTGTTTTACAAAGTATATGTCAATTTATTTACTAAATGAATTTTGTCCAATTGTAAACCAACTAGGGTAGCTCAGTTGGCTAGAGCCTCTAACTTCTCAGTGGGAGGTTAGGGTTCGAAGTCCTCTGGGCACAATAGCGTGGCTATTTGGTAGGATAAGACCTCAGTTACTTTGACTAACCGTATCTAAGTCTCTGGTGTAAGTTTTGAGTCCCCGGCGAATCGCAAGTTCTAATTTAAATGGTGTATGAGTTGAGGGATTAATTTATACCCTAGGTTTTG